GCGGGCGCGGGGGGGGCGCCCCGCGCCCCCAAAAAAAATACCCCCTTCCCGCCGGGGGGGGGAGAGGCGGGTAACAGACCAGTCCTGGAAAACAACCGCCCCCTTTTGGCTTGGAGGCCGTCACACGAAACCGATAACGGTCCCCCCCCCCCCCCCCCCCGGCCGTTTTTTTTCAGCTATGGAGGGGCTACACACACACACACACCGCGCGGCTACTTCTTTATTCCACGCGCCTCCCATGTCCGGCCGACCAAAAGCTGGCTCAGCCGCCTCCCGGCGCGGATTCGCTTCGACGGCGTCACAGGCTGCGCCGCTCGCGCTGCCGAAAAAGATCGAGGCAGCGGCGGCGAACGGCAAGGCGGGCGTGGTGCAGACGTGGCTCGTCGGGGATGGGCGGGTTGACGCGACGTGCGTGCGCGGTGGTTGGAGTGGCTGTACGCTACTGATGCTCGCCGCCGGACACGGTCACAAGCAGCTGGTCAAGCTTCTGCTGAAGCGGGGCGCGAAGCCGGACGCGCAAAACAGCGTCGGCGCTACGGCGCTGATTGTCGCCGCCATCAACGGCCACGTGCAGGTGGTCGAGACTCTGCTGCGGCAAGGCGCGGAGATCAACCTGCAGGACAGCAGCAGCAGCACCTCGCTGATGTTCGCTGCCCGCCAAGGCCACGAGCGCTTGGTCGAGCTGCTGCTGCGGCACGGGGCGGAGATCAACCTTCAATCTGGCGCTGGCCGCACTGCGCTCACGAACGCCGCCTACCACGACCACCCTGCCGTTCTGCTCCGGCTGCTGCGGGCGGGCGCAGACATGGCGCTGCGCACTGCGGACGGCAAGACGGCGCTGCAGATCGCCAAAGAGAAGGGTCACACCGAGTGCGTCGCCGCCGTCCAGACGTTTCTCGGCGAGGTGGCGGCGGAGAGGCGCGACGCGGCGGCGGTCGAGGCGGGCGGCGCGGGGGCAGGCAGCGCTTCGGGCGGCAGCAGCGGGCCTGCTCCCGAGGAGATCGGCGCAGGCGGCGCAGGGGCGGACGGCGGTGCCGCCTCGGGCAAGGGGGCGGCGACGGCACCGACTGCCGCGTCCTCTTCTGGCGGCGTGGAGAGCGGAACGGGCGAGGACGCCGTCCCCGAGGAGGTCGTGGAGGCGGCTATGCAAGGCGACGAGGCGGTGCTGGCGTGGCTCGACGGCGGGGGGCGGGTGGACGTGACTTTCACTGTTGCGGGTGAGGCGAGCGGCCTCACGCTGCTGATGCTCGCCGCCCGCTACGGCCACGAGCGGCTGGCCGCGACGCTGCTGCAGCGTGGCGCTTCGACCGACCTTAAGACCAGCGTCGGCGGCACCGCGCTGATGTACGCCGCCCTCTACGGCCACGAGCGGCTGGCCGCGACGCTGCTGCGGCGTGGCGCTTCGGTCGACCTTCAAAACAGCGACGGCTGGAACGCGCTGATGTTCGCCGCCAGCAAAGGCCACGAGCGGGTGTCCGAGCTGCTGCTACGGCACGGCGCGGAGATCAACCAGCAGGACACTGACGGCAACACCGTGCTGATGTTCGCCGCCTACCAGAACCACCCCGCCGCTCTCCACTGCCTGCTGCGGGCGGGCGCCGACACGAAGCTGCGCACGGCGACTGGACACACAGCGCTGCAGATTGCCAAGAAGAAGGGCCACACCGAGTGCGTGCGCGCCCTCGAGGAGCATGCGGCGGCCAAGGCGGCGGCAGAGAAGGCGGCGAAGGAGGCGGCGTGGGCTGCGGGGGCGGCGGAGAGGGCAGCGGAGCGGGCGGCGGCGGAGGCGGAGGCGGCGCGGCACGCCGAGGAGCTGCTGGCGGAGGTCGAGGCGGAGAAGCGCGGCAAGGGCAAGAAGGGCAAGAAGAAGAAGAAGGGCGGTGGGAGCGGTGGCGCTGGGCCGTCGCAGGATGCCGAGGCGCCGTCAGAGGCGGCCGCAGCCAAGCCCGCGAAGCTGGACAGGGAGGGATTGATCAGGCTTCTCGAGACGCTCCACGAGGAGCGGATTCGGTACGGCATCACGGCGGAGACGTCGGTCGAGGGGCTGGCGGAGGCGTTGGGAGAGGAGGCCGAGGCGGCAGGCGAAGCGAGCGAGGAGGAGACGGCA